TTTTTTGTATTTTTAGTAGAGACGGGGTTTCACCATGTTGACCAGATGGTCTCGATCTCTTGACCTTGTGATCCACCCGCCTCGGCCTCCCAAAGTGCCGGGATTACAGGTGTGAGCCACCGCACCCGGCCGAGTCCAGAAATTTTAGAACAGCCTGGGCAACATAATAAGAGCCTACCTCTACAAAGAAAGTTTAAAAAAATTAGCAGGGCACAGTGGCATGCACCTGCAGTCCCAGCTACTCAGGAGGCTGAGGCAGGAGGATTGCTTGAGCCTCAGAGTTGGAGACTGCAATGAGCCATAATTGTGCCACCATACTTCAGCCTGGGTCATAGAGAACCTGTCTCAAAATAAATGAATGAATGAATGAATGAATGAATGAATACATAAATAAATAAAACAAAAATAAAATAGCATTTTTAATACAGCCAAACAGACCATCTGCTAGCTCATCCAGCCACTTCCTAGGTTCAGAGGAGAACATGCACATCCACTGGTTAGGCAAAGCCCTTCTTAGGACTTAAACTCAGTTCAGGGTTGCTGCTGCTGTTTGTTCTCAATTTGTTTTTAAAACAGTAAATAAGTTAACATAGATTTAAAAAGACACTATAAACCAAAATACATGTCTGAAATTAATCTAAATGTCTTTCAGTATACTCAAGAACATGTTTTGAACCCATGGGTCTCAAATTATAAACTTGAATTGCCTTAGAGGAAGCATAAAGTCATTGAAAATTTCAGAAAACAGTATGTATAGGTCTATGTGTATACACATACACACACACACACACACACACACACACACACAATTTCTTCTAAAGATTACTATCAATTTTGGTTTGAAACCTATTGAATCAACATGATTATATCATTAGTAGTTTCATTATTTATATATTTGCTGAATGAAATACCAAGAGGCATACATATTTTCCCTCCCCTGATCTCCCCAATTTTCTTATGCAACAAGTGGGCAAACCTAGTGGTTTTTCAGGACACCTGTTAGAGAGTAAGTAATGGACACATGTCTTATGATAACATTTGGTCTCTCTCTCTCCAGTCTAGATTATGTCATTCCCTTGATTGTTGTACTTATCAAGTTGTATTTGCTTATATGTCTGTCTCCCCACTGAAGAGTGAGTCCAGGAGAGGAGGCATTATGATTTTTATCTCTGTGCCTAATCATCTTTCTGCCCCCAGGAGCCAGGTGCCTTATTCAGTAAATGGATGCTCTTCCACTTGCTAATCTTGATTGGCCTATTTCTGTACTATATTAGGTTTTGGGAAGCAGAGATGGACAATGACGAGAGAGGATGAACTCAAAAGAAGAAGAGGTTGTAGGGAGAATGTGAGAAAGGAAGGAAGAGGATATCTTTGAAGAGCAGTAAGCAAAACAGGAAGTCAAGTCTCTAGTGGCAGTGGTGAAAAGTGTTGACCAACTGGTTTGGTGAAGGTGGCTTCAAGGTCAATTTTTTCACTGGATAGCAGGGTATTTCTGAGCCTAGTGCTTGTGGAGAATTGGCCTCTGTATTTCCCTCAAGACTTCGACAGAGCACCTAGCCAGGCTCAAACATGAGCCAGATGCTGACTGCCCTGCCAATGGCCTGCTAATGAGAAAACTACTCAGTTTGGTTAAGAAATAATTTAACCTTATTCTGGTTTGTATTTCAAGTCTGCTGATATCAAAGTACACAGAATTTTCATTTTTATTCAGCTACTTAGATGTCATTTTGAACTGTGCCATCCTGAAATTAAAAGCACAAGTGCTAGAGTCAGCTTTCACTATTCCCTTAGAAGAGATCAGCTTTTTTAGTGTTAAGAATGTGTTCTATGTGACGAAGACAAGACTACTTTCCAACGTCTGACCTCCTTTCATATCTCACAGAGGGCTGTGATGAGGGTGACTGTGGCTGGCTGTGGGGGCCTCCATTCCCCTCCTCTCACCCTTGCACCCTCCGTGCACATGCCACCTTTCCTTTTCCACATGGCAGATTAGCTGTATCTTCTGGTGACCGTGTAGCTTCAGAGGTGTGTTTTTTAGTAGGTACAGATCTACTAGGAGCTTTTGATTAAAGCTTCTAGGAACTGAAAGACAACAGGAGGTGAGGAGAGCAGGAGAAAGAGGGAGCATGGAGTACCAGCAGATAAATGATCCTCATTTCAACTCAGGATTGCTCAGTGAAAAAGCTCCTTAAGGCACTATTTCCCAAACTTGCCTGCTCATCAGTATGAATTACACAGGGCCCCTGGGAAATATCCAGATTCCTGGGTGCCATTGTAGAATCACTAAATACCTCTGCAGAGATAAGAGTCTGATAATCCGTATTTTCAACATGCCCCAGAAATTCCAACAGTCAGGCAAATCAGGGAATCACTAATTTAAAAGAAGTCCACTCCATAAACTTAAGTCATTGAGATTTGAATACATCGGGATTAGCTCTCAAACACGCATTGCTTCTTGGACTAAAATTACAAAGAGAATTGAGTTTTAAAAGAATTAAATCCCTGGTATTAGAAATATAAAAAATGACAAGTATACATGTTCTAATCTGGAGTTAATTTGATCGGTGCAACCCCATATACAAAACAGGAGCCATTTCCTATTTTTTTTTTCTTCCCCAAAACATGGAGGTGTTTTTTATATGGTCTCGTTTAGTCTTCCACACCACTCCTCTCTGGTAATGGTTCTTGTTGCCTATGTCTACTCTCCATGCTAGTCCACTGCCTCCCCATGACTCCTGGCCATATTAATATTCCTGAAGCCCACTTTCATCAGTGTCTTTCCATGATTAAAACGATTATACACAAAAATTACAAATAAAAATTACACAGAAAAACACATGCACACACGGCCCTCTTTCAGTGGATCTCCACTGCCCAAAGAATAAAATACAATTCCTCTGCACGGTATGCAAAATCTCCATGCAGTATGGCCCAGCCTTCCTATCCAGCTTGATCTCTAACTGCTTCCCTACACATACATAACACATGTGCTGCCAAGATGGACTTTTGGCTGTGTCCCAAACACGCCTGGGTTTCCCAGCTCCAGCAGCCCTGCCAGGCACGTGTGTACATCTCATCTATCCACACTCTGCCCACTCTTCCAAGTCTTTTCATATACCTCCCTCTACCCACCAGAGTTAATATGACCTGTTTTCCCACCACCACACATGTATAATTCTGCCCTGTTCTATTTGTCTTGGATGTGAGCTCTTTGGGAACACAGTCTATATCTTAAGAAAGCACCTTCTAATCTCTACCACTGCCAAGTATGTGAGTAGACTGGAAAGACCATGGGCTTCAGAATCAAGTGGCCATGGATTAACAATGTGTTTGAGAGACTTTCAAGGAGTTACTTAGCCTTTCTGAGCTTTTTGCTCCGTGATTAGTATAGCAGTGATAATACTATCAACCCTACAATATTATGTTATGGAATTAAAAGTCTGTGAAAGTGTCTTGCTCATGGTAATTGCTCAATAGTGATTCATGTCCTCCATTCCCTTCTTAATTCAGATTTATTTACGTATGTTCAATAGAGCAATAAATATTTGTGATTCCATTTTTTCTAGCTCCTAGTTCTAGTTATTTCAGGTTTTTATACAAGTGCAAAAAGCCCTTTTCTTCTACACTGGTTTCACTATGAGGAGTTACCTTGACCTAAAAAATAGAAAAGCAACAATCATAAAACCTGCCTGTCTTGGTCAGCTATGTGCATTTTTTAAAATAAACATTCTACAAAGCTGTTATTCCGGAAAACCGTAATTTCACATAAATGGATCACATTTATGCACATAAATTTCCAATGGTAAATACTCCAAATAGGCAGAAGCTGGTAATATGAAAGTAGAGAGGAGTCAGAATGGGAACTGGTGCCTGGGATAAGGGGCAGAAGACAACTACAGGTATAAGAGCCAGGAAAATTAGTTGCTTAACACTGATTAACGGCCATGCTTGTCATACTCATTAAAAGCATTAATTCCCAATTAAAGTTATTTTTAAAATATGTTTATGCTAATATGCTAAAGTTTTCATACTAACAAAATCAAATTTCATCTTTCTGGAATATTTCAGTGCTAAAATAATGCTAAAAGTTTTTAGATAGGGACTAAAGAAAGGGAGCTCAGGCCTGACAGTCTCAGGATACAGGATGGATAGAAAATGGGGTGAGCGGAACAAGGAGAGACTTTAGGCCTGCACAGGTTGGGACCAGGATGTAAGCATGGGGTTCAAGTTCACAATCCATTCCCTTTATTGACAACACTGGGCAGTACCACTGCTGCCCAAGCAATCAGAAAAGGTCCTGGCAAAAAATGAAAATCCTTCTTTATTTCCCTGAACTAGAATTCCCATTCAACTGATTTTCTAGAAAAATAAAGTTTCATTTTACATTGTCATGGTGATCTTGAGAACACACAATGCCCAGAGTACAGCTTCAAGATCATCTTGTTGTCTAACTCCTGGCTTCTTTAAAAAAAAAAAAGAACTGCTGAAATACTAAGAGCAATGGCAGCTGCTATGATAGTTATAGCAGCTAACCCTTATAGTTACTGTTAAGGACAACAACAACAACAAAACTGTCCCCAAGGCATTTCTCTGTTGAATTGAAAGCAAGAAAAACTCCCAAGGGAAATAGAAACCTAAAAACTTTGGAAAATAATTCCATTTTAACACAGGCCAGTTACTAAATAGAGAATTAAAGAAAAAAAAATATTTTCCTAAAACAAAGAAACTACACCTGGATTTAGGTGAATTCATATTTATTCAGAATGATTTTTAATGCTATTTGTTATTCTAAAACTTCCAAAAATTCCAGCTGGCATAGGAGTTGTTGAAATACTCATAGATGATGGTTGCTGGGCTTTTTTAAAAGTGCTATTCAAAACTAAACATATAGGTTTCATTCAAAGTTTAAGAAGAAAATAATGAACAATCAGAAACAAGGCTGAGATGTGGGGATATAGATAGATACTTTACACATAAGACTTCTGTGTCTCAAAGTGTCAGTTTGTTATGGAACTCTGTCATCTATTCGTGCTTCAGTCAAAACAAACGAAGAAAAACAGAACAGTATGAACAACAATCATCTAGTGCCACCAAAAACTTTTCATTCATTCAGGAAGCACTGAGTCCGTAGCTGGAGATGCAAAGAGGAGCAAGAAATATTCTCTTCCATTGAGAAGCTCATTGTCTAATGGAGAATGTAAATAAACAGCCAGACATTCAGAATGACCTGTGTTACCAGCGATAATAAAGCTGAGCACAGGGTAATATGTCAGCACTCAGGAAGGGTGCCTAAGCCAGAGAGCTTCACCGGGAAGACTTGATGTGAGTTAGAATTAGCCAGGTGAAGCAGAAGGGGAAATAAGCTCTAGAAACAGAGAGCTTTGAAAAAGGCAGGCAGGGTATAAGGAGGGGAGGCCTTACTTCCTTGGGACTGCAGCATGAAAGTAAGGGGAGGGCTGAGAGAGAAGAGGCTGGACAGGTGGTCCTGGATGTCCTAATTAATTTTGAATTAACAAATAATAAGTATAACTTTTTCTCTGTTTTTAAAAAAACTGAGTTCCTTAATTGCATCCAAAATTTATCTGTTGAGATAAAATAATTTCATTCCCAGTTCTAATTAGTTGCTTAAATAATTGTTATCCTTGGAGAGCAGTAAATGACAGATGGACATTAAAAATTTTGTACAAATGTCAATTGCAGTTTGTTCATAAATCTTGTAGCAATTACCTGCCTTGTCTGATATATACTGGAGGGAGGATGGAAAGTGCTGAATGCCTGAAGATAAACCAACTCTTCCTCTGAGAGGTAAATTTATTCTTCTTTGAAACCTAGGGATATTTAGTGTCTGGTCATAGTTTGGGAGGAGGTGGTATGGAGTACCTAGAGAAGCCCTTCACTACGGGTGAACTCACTTATTTTCTCTTTTTTCTGAGATGGAGTTTTGCTCTTGTTTCCTGGGCTAGAGTACAATGACACAATCTCAGCCCATTGCAACCTCCGCCTCCCGGGTTCAAGTGATTCTCCTGGCTCAGCCTCCCAACTAGCTGGGATTACAGGCATGTACCACCACATGCAGCTAATGTTTTGTATTTAGTAGAGATGAGGTTTCACCATGTTGGTCAGGCTGGTCTCGAACTCCTGACCTCAGATGATCCAACCGCCTTGGCCTTCCAAAGTGCTGGGATTACAGGCATGAGCCACTGAACCTGGCCTCTTACTTCTTTCCTCTGATGAACTCTCAGACTCTTTTGCTGCCTCAAATTGCACTATGACCTGTGAGAGTCCCAGGAAGCAGGAATCATAAGGGGCCTGCCCCTCTCCTGGACATATCAAATATGGAAGCATCACATTTACCAAGAGACAACACCGCAAGAGGGTAACTGACGGAAATCAATTCCATCCTGAAAATACTCTGAGGCTTTTATTGTCTCAACTTTGGGCCTCAGAGTACACTCACTTTTTTTTTTTTCCCACTATCCTGTTAAACTCTGTACTCTAAAATGTTTCTCTGTACTAATTTGGCAAACCTCCATTTATTAGCAACTTTAAGTAACCTACAGATCCTTTAGATGACTTTCATTCTTCTTTGTCCTGGATATTTTTACATGACAGACAAAAATATCTATTCTCAGAGCTGGAGAAGATAAAAATGTTTGCCCTGAAGGGAATGAAATCTTGATTTAGCTAAAACTTTTTAAAGAGTATATATTAAATATAAATACAGTATTATATAAAATTATAATGTGACAAAGTCACTGTTAAATAGTCCATTTTTCTGTTGTAATACTTTTTACATAGAGTTGTAAACAAATAAAACAGAAAACGAGGTAAACTTCATAAAATGGAGCAGAAGAATAAAGAAGCAGGAGACAAACTTATTCTGAGTCCCGAGCTGTGTCCTAAGATGAAGGTGGTTTCTGCTGGTTGGCAAGAAAAGAAAACTCATAGACATTATTTTTCTTGCATCATAGGACAGAAAGGAAAGTGTGTCTCAGCCAAGTACGTCAAGAGACTGTCACCTTCTGCCAGATCTTGGATCAATTCTTACTCTTCATTAGTTCTTTTTTACTAATCATTTGATTAACTAGTGTTAAACACTCCCTAGCACTTCAATAAGTGTTTTACATAACTTTATTCAACCTCACAACTACTACAAACTGGTCCCATTTTACAAATGAAGGACCTGGATCACAGAACGGGCAAGGAACTTGCTCAAAGTCACACAGGTAGTTAGTTGTGGAGCTATGCCAAACTCAGGTCAGTCTGAATCAAAACTTTTTCTTCTGAACTTTTATACTATACCTCATACTTGCTTTATCTAGTGACAATTCTAAGTTCATTAAAAAATGAGAAGCCACTTCTATGTATAGTATTCCCAAGTACCTCATGCAATCCTACACCATTTAGCAAAATGTTTAAGAATTTTCTCTCCCCTTTCTCTTTCAGCAGTATATTCCCCACCAGGGCATGAAGGAACTAGCAGGGACAAGGTAGCTAAGGCTAGCACCATTGCAAAACATTTTGCTTCAAAAGTGTTTCACTTCATCATTTCATTAATAGATAGCTACAAAGAATCAAACAACATTCTACCCACCCCTTGATCCCTTTATTAGACCAACTTACTCAAGGGAATCGATGATTTTTTTTGGCTCCACAGGGCACGGATAGATAACTTCATCGATGTGCTTCAGGTTACAATTTGAAAAGGCGGTAGAGATATGTATAAAGGCTTCCAGCTTGGGCATCTGACTAGCCATAAGCAATAGCTGCTGGGTGGCAGTGACATTAAGTTGCACAGCATGTCTAGAGAAGATTAAGCAGAAGGAAATACATTGAGGTAAATCAGCATCACATCTTGCTATAACTGCGTCTACTCCAATAACTGGCATATCTATCAGATTTTGTTGGCTGCACCAAAACAGCAGGAAGAAAAGGGTGGGTCATGGCTACACAGTTATGTGATACTCGGAATGTCTTATGCATTGATGATGTGTTTTTGTGTTCATAAATCCCATTCACTGACGTACTGTACATATATCTAGAGGTCACTTGGTTCTAATAAAAAAAAATCACAATCCTCTGAATTTATAGAGGTTCTTCTACAAGCAGCCATTAAAAGAACACAAACATGTAAATTAATCATCTAACTCAAAACATTAGAAAATATAAATAAACTGGACGGGAGCAACAGTGGGTTTTTAAATGAGCAATATAAGTTGCTACTGTAAAGGTCCAGGCCAGACATGAAAACTGATGTCAAAATCTAAAATTGCAGCTAGTAGAATACAAAGCTATATAAATAGTATGTGATAACAATGAAACAGTCCATTCCAGGAATAATACATGGTTTATCTAATACCAGGAAACTTACTAATTTAATTTAACTCAAAAAGAGAAAAACTCATAATAACCTATATGTATTTCCAAAGTTTAAAATGATGTTTAATTTCCATTCCAATTTAATTGAATAAATTCACTAGAATTGGAATACAGTGATTAAACAATACATATTAAAATTTGCTAGGCAATGTCATTCTTAATGGTGAAAAGCTAGGAGCACTGCTTGTGAAGTCAGGACTAGGAATAATGCCTACAGTCTATTACTTAGCATTGTTCTGAAGTCCTAGCCTTGTAATTAATTAGAAAGAAAAATAAAGAACAGATATAGATATTAAAAAGACAGTCACAAAAGTTACTGTTGGATTATATAATTGAATACCTGGAAAACAGAAGCAGCTTTTTAAAAATCTGAAATGTACTATAATTCAGTAAGGCGTCCACTGATAAAAATTATGTAAAAAATCACTAGCTTGCCTGTTTATAAACAAAAATTAGAGAATACATTGGAAGAAATGTTCAAAGTCGAACATTTAAAATATATCAAATTCATCATAAATTAATATATAATAGCAAAAAACAAATAACAAAAAATTGAATAAATGGGAAAACATATATTGTTCTTGGATAGGAGGAATCAATATTTTAAATATGCTAAATGTTTCTAAAGTATTCTACATATACAAGGTAATTCTAATCAAACTCCCAAGATTTTTAAAAACCTGGCAAAATTATCTTCAATTTAATCAAGAATCATATGCAATGAGAACAGTCAGAAAAATTCTATAAAAATTAAAGTGCGGCTGGGTGTGATGGCTTACGTCTATAATCCCAGCACTTTGGAAGGCCAAGGCAGGCAGATAAACTGAGGTCAGGAGTTTGAGACCAGCCTGGCCATGATTATGAAAACAAGTCTCTATCAAAAATACAAAAATTAGCCGGGCATGGTGGTACATGCCTGTAGTCCCAGCTACTCGGGAGGCTGAGGCAGTAGAATTACTTGAACCCAGGAGGTGGAGGTTGCAGTGAGCCAAGATTGTGCCACTGCACTCCAGTCTGGGTGACAGAATAAGACTTTGTCTTAAAAAAAAAAAAAAAAGAATGCTTTAAGTATACTTGCCCTAATATAATAAAAATTACAGTAATTAAAATGATACAGTACTGGAAGTGAAAACCTGATTTAATGTAACAAAATAGTAACAAATTTAGTTTAAGAGCTTTATTTCAGATAAAGAGTAAAAATAAATTATTTAATATTATTTAAAAACTAATTGTATGGCAGAAAAAATAAATAAAACTCCTTTACTTTCATATCTGCATCACTCTTTTTATAGAATTTTCCTGTACTCCTCTTTTTAGGTAAATATATTTTAAATGTATCAAAGATCTAAATGTAAAAATGAAACCATAAAAATAGAAGAAATTACAAATAACCGCATAAATAATACGAGTTGAAAGACATTTGGTAATTTTTTTTTTAACTTCCAGTAATGGGTATAAGCAAGATAAATTGTTAAAATATTTTGAGCCTTATAAAAGATGAAGAGTTAACGGCCAGGCACTGTGGCTCACGCCTATAATCCCAGCACTTTGGGAGGATGAGGTGGGTGGATCACTTGAGTTCAGGAGTTTGAAAAAAATGTTTCAATAGAAAAAGAGATAAAAACCATGAATATACATTTCACAAATAACAAAATGCCAATAAGCATTTAAATATCATCAACCTTTGTAATCATCAAAGAAATAAAAATTAGAACATGTGCTACCATTTCCATTATCCTATTGGCAACATTAAAAAGAATTAAAAATTATAATATTATTTTGTGACTGCAAAAATGAGTATTCGTTTGTAGAGAGACAGCATAAGTAGACACCACATTTTTGGAGAGCAATTTAGCATTATGTGTGAAAATGCAAACTGTTCATAATCTGGGCACAGCTGATCTGTATCTGATAATTGTACTTCTAGGAATTTATTTCAAGAAGAGTACACAAAGAGGTGAAAAATATACACGCACACAGATATTCACTGCAGCGTTGTTTATAATAGTGAAAAATTAAAACAATCCAAAGGTCCACCAACATAGAACTGGTTGAGTATATTATATATATATATATATGTTCAATGAAATGTCATGTAATCATTACAAATTATAACAGAATATTTACTGACAATGATAGATATCCAAAAATATAATTGAGCAGGTTGCAAAACTTCATTCTCAACAGGATGCCATTTTCTTTCAGTAAAATTGAACATATATCTATATAATCACAGATGCATAAAGAAAAATTGGAGTGAATGTTCTCCACAAGAATAAATGGTTGTCTTTAGGTGGTGGAATTTTGGAAGAGTTTTGCTTCTTTGTATTTTTTTTTCCTTGAGGGTACATTTCTTTTTTTTACAGAAACTATAAAGAAACTTACATGCACACATGTATACATGCCATGAGAAGGAAATGGGAATGTACCTGAGAGTGTCATCAAAGCGTACAGTGGCTGCACAGTGAAAGATAATGTTCGTACAGGAGAGAAGCTCCTGCATGTCCTCTTTGCTGATACCAAAGTCATTCTGATTGAGATCTGCATAAATAGCTCTGATCTTCTCATGCACATTTGGACAAACTTCTTTGACTTTTTCAAATAGCTGAAACATAAATATAGATCAATATACAAAGAATAGCATCATCATTATCACATTGTTCTTGATTACAACACCCTGTTTAATTATACTCAGAAACTGGTTTTAGTTGTAATAATATTACTTAAAGAATCTGGATAGGTGTGGTGTCTCATGCCTGTATTCTTAGCATTTTGGGAAACCAAAGCAGGAAGATCGCTTGAGCCCAGGAGTTCAACACCAGCCCAGGAGTTCAACACCAGTTCAACATGGTGAAACCCTGTCTCTACTAAAATTATAAAAAAGCACCCAGGCATGGTGGTGTGTACCTATAGTTCCAGCTGCTTGGGAGACTGAGGTAGGAGGATCCCTTGAGCCCAGGGTGTGGAGGCTGCAGTAAGCCTTGATTGAAACACTGCATTCCAGCCTGGGCCACAAAGGAAGACCCTGTCTCAAAAAAAAAAAAGAAAAAAAAGAAAAAAAAAAATCTACTCAAAAGCCATCTGCTTTATTTCATACAATTCAGCCAGTTTAGTGTAATTCCAGCTACATTTCAATTGAGAAACATTTGAAAAATCAGTTCCAATAATCAGTAAGGTATGCATTTCGAACTTTTCCTGCAGGGTAAAAAAGTGAGAATAAGTCATCCACATCTTGCCTTTATCCTCTTTTTCCCTTTAAGCCAGCTTTATTTTATATTTATACATGGTAATCGTTTCCATTTTTGACTGAGAATAATTGTTTTCAGTAAAAAATGACCAACCTCTACACAGTCTTCACAAATTACAAGCAAAATGACCAACAATTTGGTTAACTGAACCAGATTAACAAAATATCATAGCAGCACAAACATTATTAGAAAATAAGAAATAGCAAGTGAAGCAAATTATAATAGGTAAAACATATAAAAATTTTATGTAATATTATTCTAATATAAATGGCAATTATTGTCTAGTAAGTACATGTGCTCATGTATTTTTTAATGGGATATTGATTTTTAAAATATTCTAATTTATTCATAAAGGGAAAAAGGAACAACACTGGCCATTGTAGCTTTTGTTATACTTATTCAGATAGAACAGATTCAGTACTTTCCCCCCCACACAGAAATTCTTAGACTAAATCGGCATTTCCCATATTCTCAAGAAATATGATTTTAATAAAATGATCTTGGTTCCAACCTATTTTGACTAAATGGAATTTTACTTAGTATTGGTGTGGTATATTAACAGTGAGAAAACAAAAGTAAAGCTAAATGTTTAGAAAAGTTAAGAGCAGAGAAAATTAGCCTGTGATTTTAATCATAATATAGTAACAGAGACAGTTCTCTTCTCTTCCTTAACCTGTAAACAGTGGTTTTTACCTATTTCTTGATCCTTAGTCACAGGATTAAGAGAGATCTATCCATTAGAGGTGTACCTCAGGCTTTTTTCATTGGGTAATACAAAGTTGATCTTAGGTAGTCAGAGAAACTGTGTCTCCATTTGTATCAGGGAAGAGCATGTTCAGAAGCCATTCTGATGATTTAATGAAGCTGACTAGGAAAGGGATGAAATCCACATATTGATCTGGCAAGTTAACATACTTCGCTTCTGTCTACAATTTTTCTGCACTGTAGGGGCAGCCTTTTCAGTGGTGTGTTACTGCAATTATGAAAATAATTTGGAAGTTAGGTCAGTCCTCAATGCTTTTGACATCTGGGATTGATAAGGCTGATAAAGTGTCCTAGGCACATTTTCAGCAGAGGTCACTCCGACTCTTCCAGAAAGATCTTTAACAGTTTTTCTAATATCAATAAATCATAAACATGCTAAATGTTTGCTTCTAGAGTCATATGTTTTCCCCCTTGATAGTTAATGTTGATTGTACAACAAACATATGTTGAATATTTATCTAAAATTTGTACAATTTTCTCTTTTTATAATTCAGTTTGGAGAAGGCTCTTTTTTTGAGTCTAATGATATATTTTATTCACTAGAAATTTACTTAGGTTTCTGTGGATTCTTTCACTTTGGCCTATGATGACTTCTGACTATGGGAGAGCAAGAAGTAGATGATTTCTGCATCCACCCTTCTCACAATGGGGTTCCTTACATATGACGTAAGCTGTAATATACAGATGTTCTTTTGCCTTTGGTTTTTATGACTTTAAAAGACAGAAGATACTGCTATTCCACATTATACTTTCAGACAACCTGTGCAATGCTGAACAGCACCAAGATCCCATATTTGCATTACTTTTCAGGAGATCATTACAATTTTAGGAAATAATGTTCCAATCTGTGTTCTATCTGTTGAATTGTATTTTCAATTGAGAATGCATATCTGAATAAACACAGTACAATTTTTTTTAAAGTCTGAGCTTTCTGATTTAGGTAGATGATAATGTTCCATTGAAATAAATCAATGAATTGGCTGCATCAATTCAAACTACAGTGCTAAGTAAGGATTCCATTTTACTATGCTAGTCTTGCTTAATAATCTGGCTTACCCTGCCAGGAATCTCACCATACTGCTATAGCTTCTAAAATAATACACTCTAATAGTGCCACATCCTGAATACAGTGACAGAGATGGCAGCCAACTGCCATCCAGCAGGTCAGTGGCTTTGGTCAGCACTTTTCATAATGCTGTCCACAAAGTGAACTGCATTGGAATCACTAGAAGCATAATTAAAATGTATATTCCTGGGTCCTATCCCATACCCACTAAATAAGAAATTACTGGGGTACACCCAGGAATCTGTATTTCACACCAAGTCCCCCAATCGATTTTAAGGCATGCAAATGATGAGAATTTCTCCAGTTAGAGTGCTAACATGGACAATTGCAGATGAATAACTGCATATGGCTCATTTCCCTTTATAACTGCCCAGAGCAATCTTCACATCAGTAGGTTTCAAACTGTATGCATGAAAAATAACGGAACCTGGTTAAAAATTATTTCTTTATTCCAGCCTCAGAGATCCTGGCTCAGTAGTTTTGCGTGTAACCCAGGAATTGTATTTCTTAACCACTGACGCAGATGGATCTGATGGTCCAGGTACCATAATTGGGAAACACCGACTCTTAAAAATTCAGGTCTGTTCTTAAATTCAGGGCTTATATTTCCCCCTCTAGTTTGTAAACTCCTCGATTCTTTTTTTTTCTTTTGTAGGGTAACTCATTTTATTATTTTTTAAATTTTTGTGGGTACATAGTAGATATATATTTATGAGGTCATGAGATGTTTTGATACAGGAATGCAATGTGAAATAAACACATCATGGAGAATAGGGTATCCATCCCATCAAGTATTTATCCTTTGAGTTACAATCAACTAGTTAGCCACATGACCTCATTATGCAAGTATCCACAGGAGGCTTGGTCTCTACTTCCTGGGGCTAATTGAAGGTAATCAAATCTTTTCTAATCATGGGAATCTTTGATCTTTATTCATTTTACTAAGTCTTTCTCTTTAAAAATGGCTATATTATTTAGTCCCAATAACCCACCAAGATTTGCTTAATATTTTTTTAAAAGAAATTAGGAAGATCCCTTAAATTAAAGGGCAATCTCTGTGGAATATTTGGTGTCCCAAGGTGAAAGAGACACTGTAATGTTTTTAGAGAAGTTTTAGAGTGCTGAGTAAAAACAAATCAATGAATTCTGCAAATTAGTTCTAAGTTGAGAACAACTGAATACAAGTGAGTACAGTAATTTAAGCAAAAACCATTATACCCATGTACAGATTAACAAAAATTCACAAAACGTTAAAATTGTTGCTAGTTCACTAGTAAGTCCCATAAGATGTAAAGGATTAATCTAGAAGTTTTTAATGGTTTAGCAAGGATCATTTCTATAACTCCATAAGGCAGCATGGTATAGTAGTATGGCTGTCAAAATTTGGCATATAGCAGTGAGGAACTGTGTTAGAGGAACTTTCCCCACCTCTGGCCGGCTGTTTTCCCACCTCTGGCTCTTAGGGGCTTTGTTTAAGGGCAGGGACTTTTCCCATCTCTGGCCCCCGGAGTCAGAGGCTGGGTGATTCAGGGTTTGTAAACAATAGCCAATCCGGTAAAGGTTTCAAAAATCAATTAATCCAGAGAAAGGTTGAAAAAACAGGTCACTGGATGAGAACAAGAACAGGGAGGGAATAACTCAGGGGTATAATCTCCAGCTACCGGAGCTTGCAGATGCAGCTGCACCCTCTCCGGGTCCCCTTCCACTGCGTGGAACCTGTCCTTTCACTCTGCATATAAACTGCACTATCACACACTCTTTGGGTCCACAAGTTCTATTTGAGCTGTAACACTCACGGCGACACCGAGACCCCGTTTCCCATTCTTCTTGGTTGGGGGCCCAAGAACCCAAGTTCCAGAGAATCAGATTGTAGCTGATCGGGTTACAGCAGGGTTGCCCAGGAAGTTGCTCAAACAAACAACCTATGCCCTGACCCTGAAGATTCTTATTCAAAACAGTTATTAATCAAACTTGGGCATCTATCTTCACTTTGAACACACGCTCTAGTAATTCCGATACACTCTGAAATTGAGAACCACAGGTGTATTGAAAAAGCTCAGGCCCTGTGGAGTCACGAAAGACTCTATTTGAATTCTGATTCTGCCATTTATTTGCTATGTGACTGGGGCAAGTTCCTTACCTCTCTGGGCCATCGTGCCTTTATTTGCCTGTTATCTAAAATGCCAGTCACTTGATTATCTTATTCTGTCATCTCAGAGAATTAAGCATATATCATGCTGTTCTTATTGCATTTAACAAAATTTTAGTTCACTCTGCATAATAATTTATAATAAATGCTAAAGGCAACACAACGTTTGATTCATCTTATGTTTTTTTCCAAAGGTCAATTTTACAGTCCTTTGAGAATTACTTCTTGCATCTGGGCAGAAAAGGAGCTAGGGTGGCTAGGAAGATGGAGACCAAACTTAAGATTATTTCTACTCTCCAACAGAATTGGTGACATCTCTGCATTATCCATGCCGAAGGATGGAAAAAGTGTTGATACTAACTCAGAAGTGGCAAGCA